AAAGTATGAGCAGGCTGAGCAAATTGAGGTAAAACAGATAAATCCCTGGAGGATAGTTTGGGGCTTTCACGCATCACATCAATTATAGTACTCCCTCTGGCTCTCAAAAAATTCTACCTTTTTCCTTCAACACCAAATTTTGAAAGTACTAGGTCTCCTTTGACATCTATTGGATTGTAAATTCCAGCACAACTGGATGGCCCAATGCTTGTTGTGCATTCTAAAGTACATTTCTGTCGTGACCTAGTGCATATCTCAATTCCTACAAAGCTAGTAGCTGGCTTTTATATACAGTACACCCTAAAAATCAGTCAGAATGCATTCTGTATAGTCATACCAGTGATTACTGAAAATTTAATACACCAAACACTCTGAGTACAATAGCATAGTTTAATGATCACAGAAAAAACTCAGACAGATCAAGTTCAGGTGTCTCTCTAACAGATTATATGCCTACATGCTTTTGCTTGCTTAGGAATGCCAAAGTTTGGAAAGATCTTAATTCCAAAACAAATCTTCAGCACACCCCTGTTAGACAAAAAGAGAAACTCAAAGCAGGAGGAACTTCTCTTTAAAATTACCTTCAGAGCATTAATAGGAAGCTTAAAAATATTCTGTCCCTGAATTTCTGGGCATTACTTCTGAATGCAGTTTATGACTTTCAAACTCAGATTAGACCGTTTCAGAAAATAAGAAAATGTGTCTGTCAGTTGACTCAAACATATTGGTAGAATAAATAACAATTTTTCATTTGGGCACTCATCATTCAAATATAAAAAGAGAAAATGTCTGCACATACCAGAACACTTGGATAATTAACTGAATAGACACCAAAACAGGACAGTGGATTTGTTCAGGAAGTTATTACAAGCCAGAATAGATTGGAACCGTTAAACCTTGGCATAAATCCAAGCTAAGGCTCTAAAAACTACTTACATAAATACAGGCTTAGTTTTTAATGGAAACTGATTCTTCTTCCTTTTACCAGTAAGCTATGGGGCAGACTTACCACTGTTTTTTCCCAGAAACAAGAGTGCAAGAAAAGGAGTCATTTGTAAAATGTTACTGGAAACCAAATGGCTTTGGCAAACAAATCAGTTTTCAAGTAAATCAGGTAATAGACAATGTTATAAAATACCTCTTCATACAAAGGGCATCCAGCACTTTTTTTTTTTAATATGGATATATACCAGATTTTCATGATAGTCATGATTTAGTAATATTGCTTCTCAAGAGATAGAATGATAAATTACTATTTTCCCCACCAACTGGAAAGCACTGATCTTTTTAGAAGGCAATTTGAGTTTGAATGTTTACACATAACAAAGGAAATTCCTTACCAAAGATGCCATTATGAAAAAGGAATATACAACCTGAGGCGGGTGGAGAGTGGGGATCCTTTTTCCACACATCAAGCAAATTACCTTTAAAATTACATTATTACAATTTTAAAATTTCTTTTTCCATCAATTTCAACTATGTTAAGTAATTGAAAGCTCTATTTTAAGATTTCATATGAACCCAGTAAATAAATTGTCATAAGGAACAGAAGGGTACTTGGGCCATACATACAAACCACTAAAAAAATGACACAAACAAACAAAATTTTTGGAGCAAGTTTCTACTAAAATGCACTACATTTCATTATTTGGGAGCATGGCCATTTCTATTTAAAAACAACTATAAGTAACTGATTTTTTTTTGTCTTAAAAGTAGATAGATCTGGATAAGCAGAAAGAAAGGTGGGGCCCATTTTATTTAGTTTCATCAGAAAATTTGAAAAATAGAACAATACAAGCAAGGAATTTAAAAATAAATGAAGCATGTTTTATGACAAGAGAACCTGTCTTTAAACTGACCTGTTTTATCTGGGTAAGAGAATTGTACAAATTTCACACTGGTATCTAAAACTATATAAAATGAAATACAAAATGCTAGTTTAGCAAAGTTTAAAAAAGACCAAGGAAAGACCCTTAGGAGTTCGAGATCATTGTTCTGGAATCAAAAAAAAAAAAATAAAGCTAGCTATAAAATTACCACTTTGGAAGGCTTGGCTAATGGGACAGCAATTAGATCTCATGAAGAATCAAGTCATATTGCTGTCAGGTGTCCAAAACCTGCATAGAAGGCCAATATACTTTCTGCTAAAAAATATGAACAGTGGGACCAAGTAAAGGTTCAACTTAGAAAAGTGGGTCTAAACAACAAAGTAATTTAAGGGAAAACAACTTTCCCAAGATGGGGAGAAATTTTCTGAAGCTTAAAAATGTGTATCCGATATTTATTGCTCTCTTTGTGTACTTCTATACTCAAGCATCATAACACTTGATATAAATTTACAGTAATTATTCCATATTGATGCTGCACTGTCATATGGTGTTTCTGAGGGCCTTGAAAGTGAGCAAGAGATTTTTATAATTCCTGAATATTGTCTGTACAAAATATGGAGTCAACCCAAAAAGACTAGACCCTGTCTGGAAATAATATACTGCATGCATGAATACGAAAGCTATAAGATGCATGGTGCAACACATGCAGAATTATATACTTTTGCTCTCCCTGCAAAATTCATAGCTAAATAGAGTGAGAAATGTCCAAGTAAAACTGTATCATTCAAATACATTCAGCTTGCTCCTGCTCCCCCTCCCAATCCCCCAAAAATCAATTCACAGCGATACCAGACCATTTGCCAGGCTTTCAGATTCTGGTAAACACAAGTTTCTCCAGGGACAAATAAGAGCACTCGCAAACTTACAGCATTCTTCTTTTCAGTTTGCATTGAAAACTGCCAATATTTACATATGAAACAGCTGATTCAATCATTTTTTACAACACTGAAAGCATTCAGTGAAGAAAAAAAAATGAAGATATTCATAACCTAAAACAGCATGTTTAAGTATTTCATTCTTTTCTTGGAGATTTTTCTATTGACTCCAATTAATCTTTTATGGGCTTGTGAAGTTCAAGATTTTTCTTTGTATAAAAGAAGTTGATTGAGTTAATGCACCCTGCCAGCAGGTTGTTCCAAGCTTTATTTACAACACCTGGAATTTTGGAAAGTTTTCATAATTATTTCCTCGTGAATATATATAAGCTCATTGGATCATGCTAACCATGTCTCTTTTAGGGCCAATTTTACCCTTTTGACACTCTCTTCTCCGTTCACTTTATTTATAACTGTGCTTAATCATCAAGGAAATTTTCAGCACATGTTTAGCATGCAAAGCAGAATATTTCTGGGAAGAGTAAAGACAGAAGTAATAAAGAATTATGTGAACAGCTAAGGGTAAAAAGTTGATAATTTGAGGAATATAATTTTCCCCTTTTATAGCAAGAGAGCAGGCATTCTCAAACCCTAGCGAAGACAGTGGTACTTAGAACCTGGTAAGCTCCAGCTCTGAATGGACACCCATATGGGCATGTCTGCAATGCCTGCTAGAGCCACACAATTGCTTTATTGCAAGAGAAGCCAATCAATAATGCAGGCACACAACTTTTGATGCTTAATGCTATTGGCATTTCTTTTGCCAAGTCAGATTCCAAAATCAGCCATGAAGCCACCCTTCTAATTCACTATCATCTAAATAAACAGATCTAAGGATACCTGGCTTTTAAAAGTACTTTTTAGGTATTTTTATAGAACTTAGGCATTTACAACATTCTGTCACTCTACTTATTGTCTTCCTAGACCCTAGCCATTTAATCCAACACCAAAGTAAATATGCTTACTTGAAAATCAAAGTCACAACATATCTTGGGAACTGGGGGTGGGGGTGGGGGTGTTTTGCAGTTATTTGACAATGTTTTTTTTAATCTCTGAAGACCAGGTGTGTGCTCAAATCCAGGATATTCGTTTGGTCCTTTCTCTTTAAAAAGTACCAGTTACCACATGAGCTCATTGTCAGAACACAATGCACTACAATACTTTCAGGACATCTGATTTTCAGTAAACCATCCAGAACATAGCTTCACGCCCACCTTTAGCCCTGGCACAACAGTGATATAGGCTGCAACGAATTAAAGTCTAATCAGTTGTTTTCCTCATACTTCCCACCTGAATCACAGATCTTTGTTCAGTTGCATTGCTTGCCTGATTTTTTCAGAAGGTTTAAAGTAACAAGGCATTCTATTAACGCTGCCTCAATCTTCTGCAGTGCTGCAGAATTTGAACATACGCTAAAACTAAGCTACCGTCAATTCATAAATGTAAGACTGGCTTTGATTCTGCTATCCTATACAAAACCTGCCTCTACACAAATGGTTTATGTGATCAACATGGAATCAATGTGTAATGTGAAAAATAAATAAGAGTATGTTTGTTCCGTTTTTAAGCTGAAGAATGCTGCAAGCTTTATAAATTTCTCCTTTTTAAAACAAAGGTGAAAGAGCTTGGAATGCACCCTTCCTGACTGCTTCAGTTTTTCACCTGTCCCCTGAACTTTTTGCTCCATAGGTATTCAAAAGGAATTTGAGAATTTGCCCCAAGGTGCTTTTTAAGGTCTAAGGATTGGTGAAAAAGGAAATTGAACACTGCTCTGCCTTTAATGCTGAAAAACACAGAAGAATCCCTTTTTATTGCAATGAAAACGAGTTAACATTTCAAAATTATAGCCCTAAATTGTTAAACTGCCAAAAAGCTCTCTCTTCACAAATATTAGAAAGTTTACAAATTCTCTCAAAATTACCAATGCTGCATGTAATCATCTACTTAACAATATTTAAGTACTCTAATCTCTTTACATTTTTCTTTCACACACAAAAAAATATCACTGAATGTTATTATCCACAGATTTATTTGCTTTCCCAGTAGACTACCTTTAAATCCTATTTAATACAAGTTAAAATCTGCAGTCTTGACAGGTATGGTTTTCACATCTAGTGCTTGAAAGGCATAGCGTTCTCCATAAAGTGCCAATGCAGCAGTAACTAATACAGAGAAGGCCTTACAGCAAAGCTTACCACCTTGCAGCAGTTCATACCAATAAAAGTTTAGTTCATACCTCGGTGATTGGTGAGGTCTCTGGATCCTGAAGGCAGGGGAGTATAGTGCATCTCTGGAGAGGTGGAGGCAACATCACTAAAGGCCTGTGTGATAAAACAAATATTATCAGTACTCTGAGTGAAAGTCAATGACTATGCAAAGAGGCTGCACCTGCAAGATGAGTTCTATGATGTGGTTACAGGTGCACAGAGTCACCAGCCATGGAGGATTAATTTGCTTTGTTAAGGCTGCCTGCAATCCTTCAAGGTAGTTGTACTCACAAGAGTATATTAAGTATCATTACTAAAAGAATCTTTTCATACAACTCAGAGCTTTAAAAAATTACCATGTTTATCAGGAAATCTTTGGGCAATGTTAAAAATGTTCCTCTTGGTGAAACAGATTAATATTTACCTGAAGGAAGTTATGAGGGAGTCCATTTGTAAGAAAGGAGATATTTCTGTCTGGGATAAGTTACCATACTTTTCAAAACTAAGCAAAAACCTGATTCTGCCATTCCACTGCCCTGTGAACTAAATGAAGGGATCTCTTAAAAATTATAATGCCTATAATGCAAAAAAGTGGGAAAGTATATAGAATTCTTAACAATAAACACTTAAAACCCACACCAGAAGTCTAATGCATTTAAAGAAGTAAGTATCAAGAAGACTTGCTCAGAATCCTTAAAAGCAAAATGTCAAGGAAGAAGAGAGGAAACCTAAATCTTTCCCATAATATAAACTTCAAGATCCTATGATTCCAATTTAAAAATATTAGACTGTGGAGCTATAGTTTGCAATAAACTAATCTTCATCCAGTTGGAGGTTTCACCTGAAGGAAAGAGCAACATAAAGCCAAGCCAAGCCACATTTACCATCTTGCTTTTTAGTTATACAGCAGCGTTGCATTGTTAGGAGGAGAGATGAAAATAGAGGATCGTGTTGGTGAATATGAATCATCATCACAGTTTTTAAAACTTAGCTTAAGCTAGATCGATTGATATCTTGGTAGTGACATGTCCAGTTTCAGGTAAAGAGTTTGCTCTGGAGTGTTTACAATCTACCCATTGCAACGTACATAAAAAAGATGATGGGTTTTAACAGAATGCACAAAGGACAGTGTTCACTAAAAGTTACATGGTAATTTCTAATAGAAAAGGTAAGGCAAATAAAGAGAAGAAATACAAAAGCTAAACTATTTCTTGAATTTCATGATAATTTGCTAAAGGGAGTCTTGAGGAAATAATTGCTATCTTCTTTGCAGGTTGTTTCCTAATAATATATTGGCATATAAGCTGCAAAAGGCAATCAAAGAAATCCACCTCAATCTTACTTATTATTTTGTAATTAATCATATCCTCAAAATTTATATATTTTTTTAATTGAATTGAATTCAAAACCAGATTACAATGTCTGGTTGAAATAGAAGTGTAAAATAGGGCTATAATGTTTTGGAGAAGAAAAAGTTTAAATACTAATTCAAATCTTAATTGCCAGACTAAACCTGAGAACAACAATCAGAAATCCACAATAATGAAAATTAGTCATGGTAATAGTTTGTTAAAGGTTGTAACTTTGAAATCTTCTTTTTCATAGCTGTTGGACTCCTAGATGATAGTATATTAAAATATTAAGAGGTAAATGATTGAGTAGATTAGCATACTAAACCTTTGCCTTTGGAGACCAGCTGTCAGTTTCTATGTCAGACCATAGTTACAGTGCCATTTTTGTCTCTAGCAAAAATCAGGTCATAACATGAAGATGCATCACACATCAAAACAAACATCTTAATAGAGACAGGTTTGCCTAAACAGCAAGGACGCTACTTATCAGATATGAATAAAAATCTAGAAAATCATGCCTTCGCTTTCTCACCCATGAAAACATACCCTCCTTTTCAGAGAGGTAATGTTACACACACAACTCACCTTCAGCTAGAGTGAATAATCCTTTGATTTTAGTGAACTGTAAACATGCAGCTCAATCTGCCCTAGACTATGATGTATTGGAAATCTTCCCTCTGATGACCAATATGAGCTGAGGGCACATAACATCTCAGAGGATGAGACAGATGCCCCTAACGCCCAGTAATGTAACATCTGAAATGAATTCCAAGAACGGGCATCTGTTCACAACTATCTGTTTTCTTTGGGCCTGGTTGTTCTGGGTAAGACAAGACGACAAATGTCACTAACTATTTAACATAAGACTTCATCCCTGTAAATCACTCCAAAAGCTGGAGGAATAAGTGGTCTCATACTGTACACTCTAGATGTTATCTGCCTATTCAAGTGTACTTATTTGGGACTCTGATAATAGTGAAGGTTTCTCTTTGGTACTTTTAATCTCAATTTAGGCTGTTGACAGCTTGATGATAGCTTTTCCTAAAATTACTGGAAGAGACTTTGCCTTTTCAGCAATATACCACTGAGCTAGCAAAATTCAAGAGCTTCTAAAAAGGATATTGGAGTGAAGGGGCAATTTAGCTTTATTTCCAATTTTAGGAAAAGCAAGAACAGGAGGCTTTGTTTATTGGCATTCTGCTGTTATTTTATGTACAGTATATAATTCCCTGTCAAATATAAAACAGTTTTCATTACCTTTGAGCTAAGAATTCAGTTAGAGCAATTTTAATTCTATGGAATATCATCCAGGGTTAGGATTGTTTTGCACAAACATTGGCTGGAGTTCTGAACCATGTTTCTTAGTAAGACTGTGCAGCACCAGAAAGACAGCTATTTATTTTCCCTACCACATACTGACATTTGGCCCTAAGCTATTTTCCAAAGAGATTTGTATAGATTGTATTACTGTTAATATCCACAGGAATATTTTGACAGTGACAGCATTGACATGTGACAGTTATGTCTTCAAGTATTGGTGACATGCATCAGAAGTTCTTGTTGCAGTGGAAAGTAACTACAAATACAAATAGCTTTGAGGAAAGCTGGTTAAAATGGGTGGTAGCTTCAGTTTTATAGGAACAGGTCACCAAGTAGCTCAGCAAAGAAATTCTAACAGTATTATTACAGGAGAAGCTTGTATTCTTGCAAGCATTATAGTAATCCAAATTTTGAAGTATATCATATACAAGGTATAAAAGTTACAAGGCCAATAAAGTTAGACTACTCATAGCTTAAGTTATGCACATAATCAAACATTCGCTAAATTGAGGTGTATCTGTCTTCATATTAACCTGTAAGTTTTGTTTGAGCTAAGAATTGTTGTACTTGATATTAAATAGATTGTAAAAGAGTACCAGATTTTCAAACCGTGTTCATCAAAATTACAGATACTGTAGAAGCTGCAGTAGGGAAAAAAAACCCAAACAACAACCAACCAACCAACCAACAAAAAAAAAATGAAAAAAAAACCCTGAAACATAAACTTTGAGTAATTTTAATTAAAGCAATGGTTATTGTTTAGGAAATTTTACTTTCTGTTGATGAGTAAGATGTGACTTGATATTAGTCTATACTGGCTATAACAGAATATTATTAATACCCATTGATAGTTGATATTCTTCTATTTATATCCTAGTATTTCTCTACTAATATTACCCTTATTTCTAAGGCATGCCACAAATTCTTTATACACTCATACACATCAGTAACTGTAGTAGCCATTAATGTATTATACCTGACAAATTTTACAATACAGGAAGAAAAGCAGCATGTTGGCATGTTCCTGACAAGGGTTCAGTAGATATACAATGCACTTATGGAAAGATGTGATAAGTAAAATTGTTTCAATACACACATACATACAAAGGAAGATTTCCTTAGCTAAATACATTTAATTCCAAAATATTTTCAGAGGATGTCACAGAGAGAAATCTTGGTTTGATCAAGACATCATCTGAAAGAGAGATGGGAGAGTGCAGAATGAGATGTGGTAGCAAAAACCAAAATAATTAAGAACATATTATTTACTATGGAGCTCAAGACATAAACTAAGGATTCTCTTGTCTCTGTTACCTTGGAAAGATTTTAAGTGTTTGGGATTTCTCCTTTGCAACATGTTTCTCATCTAGTACGGGAATATCTCAGATCTCTAGCATTTCAGAGTGTGACTCATTTCTTTCAGGGAAGCGATGAAGAGGCAAATTTCTTGGGGACAGCATGATACTCATTCTCCATTCTCTAAGTCTGACCCACAATTATCAAGAATTCTTGTGTTCTGTGATACTGTTGTTTATTTCCATTCATCACAGTTTTAACACTTGTCAAAGTCATCTAGTAAGGTCATAGAGAAATAACCTTAGCAATTTGAAAGCTCGTTGCTTCTCATTTGGTGATTTACATTCAAATAAAACCAGAAAACAATATTGTAACATTGCAGTGATCAGACCAATGGTACATATCACATTATCAGATGCAAAACCTGGATTTAGTAAGAAAGTATGATTCATTTCAAAAAAATTTTAATACAGCTGCAGGAAAACTACAATTAAGAATGAGGGAAATCACTGCGATATCAATTTTTTTAAACTGACAAAAACATTCCTCCAGAAAGGTATATGATTAATGGGACAATCTGTCATATAGTTCCAACTTAAAGGATCAACTCATACTTGCTTTTGAAAAACTTTTACTTTTATGTAAACAAACAGTAGTGTTTTTCTGATAAGCTTATTCCATCTCAAATGCACTCAATGCTTAAAATTAATTATATTTTAACAGATACATGGCTTATTATAATTTTAAGAAATGCCTGCATAAACGTCTACTTAGACTAAGGACTCATTTTGGATCTCTTGGGCACACATATCTTCCCCAAAAGACACAATGGCAACAGTCTTCAATAATTCATATATATTTTGAAAACTTGCCTAAATATCTGTGAACCAATAAGTCAGCAATGTGTCAGTTCAACCCCTTTGTAACACTGACAGCAGCAACTCACGTGTCTTAACCCATGAGTATTTTGGACCATCATGATTTGTTGACATTTGTGATAAAATGTACAGAAACTTTCCATGGAACTCCTCCTCAAAAATTTTTTCCCCAAAATTTTAGACATAACTAAATAGAAATTAATTGTTTACAGATGAAATATATATATATAAATCGCGTATAAATGTGTGATGAGGAACATAGTCTGCC